TCCTTTGTGGACTATAAATGGCATAAACCCTTCCATATTGTAAGAAAGTGCTCCAATTTCAGCATAGCTCCATTCTTTTGAAAAGTTTGTGAAGAAAAATGGAGTAGCTTGGTTATACAAGCCTTTGTTATATGGTCCTCCATTCTGAATCTTCATTCGCCTCTGACCTGTTGGAAAGTTCCTCCATTGCCAACTTCTACCTCGGGATCTCTCTTGCTCATTTGCTTGTGTTGTCCGTCCTGCCCATGAGTGATGTCTGTTTCCTCACTCTCTCTCTCTTCCTCTCTGTCTCATCTTTTTTATGAGACATTTTTTTCATTGACCCTTTTAAAGAAAACTTACTAAAGAGATTGAAGAACCCTAAACTTCAATTATAAATATAATTATAACTTTAATTATTAAAACTTCAATTTGATTCCACAAATTGATTTGTCAAAAAAAAAAAAAAAACAAGGAATCCAATAACTTCCATTTCTATACTGCTATTCAATTGATTCGACAACTTTAACTTCAAATTCATTTGACAATTTTAATTATATAATACTTCAAATCTAAATTCAAATATATCTTATTAAATTATTAAAATCTTCAATAAATCCCAAAAAATGCAACAATTCTTTTAAAATCTCTCTAAAATCTCATATTTATAGAAAAATATGGAAAGGGAGGGGGTCATTGGCTCAAGTGGGTAAGAGAGGGCAGAGAAGTAGGCTCAATATGGTGGAGGGATGTGTGCTATCTCAACACAGTGATTCAAGATAGGGTAGGGTAGTTGGCAAATGGTTTCAAGATTAAATTAGGGGAAAGGGAAAATGTGAGTTTTTGGTGGGATAATTGGTGTGGGGAGGGGTATCTTGCTAATAAATTTCCTAGATTGTATATCTTATCAATAGGAAAGGAGAACAAATGTAGTTGAATGGGCAAGGCAAATGACGAAGTATGGAAGTGGGACCTTGCATGGAGAAGAACCTTGTTTGAATGGGAAGCTGACGTTGTCAGGGAAATTTACAGTATGGTAGAAGATATGAAGATCTCACTCGATTGCCCTAACATGTGGGTGTGGGTACACAGTAAGGATGGCCAATACTCAACCAAATCAACTATTCATTTCTAATAAAGGAAAAAAGTGGATCAAATGAAGTCACAACCTTCAAGAGAGTTTGGAACCCCATTATCCCGAGTAAAGTATCAACTTTCAATTGCCAATTACTATTGGATAGAATTCCAACTAAGCTTAACTTGCTGAAAAGAGGGATTACCAAAGATTTGGGAAGGAGTAAGTGTGTAATATGCGATGAAGAAGAGGAGGATTTTGATCATCTGTTTTTAAAATGCAAGATAGTTAAGTGGCTGTGGAAGGAGTGTGCTAAATGGTAGGTGACTAATGTAACACTGGGCACTAACTGTTGGAAAATGTTTGACCAGATTGGGGAAGGGAGCAAAGACTTATGAATAAGGGATGGTTGGGATTGTATTTGTAATGTGGTGGTTAGGTCGATGTGGCTAGCAAGGAACTAGAAAATATTTTATCAATCAGAGCTTAACATGAATAAGTTGTTGGAACTCATCCAACTGAGATCTTTCTCATGGATCAAAGAAAGAAAGGTCAAATGCTCCTTTAATTTTTCGAATTGGTTGAATAATCCAATTGGATGTCTTACTATTAACTGTGGGAGGAAAAGAAAAAGAGGGGTAGAAAAGAAACGGTGTGAAAGAGGGGATATTAACTAAATGGATGGTTTTTGGGTATAATGTACTACGGGTTTGAGTATCCCTTGTACTCAATGTATCAACAAAATTGTGTTTTTGTTGTTAAAAAAAAAAAAAATCTCAAATTTATACTCAGTGGACCGCTTAAAGAAAATTCATTGAGAAAGTTGAATTCGAGTAAATTAAATTAATACTTTTTCTATTTTTTTAGTGACCATGATACATATAATTTCTTATTAAATTAATTCTCCATATAAATACTTAATAATACTCTAATTACATCTAACTTCTTGCTAATTGTTCTCAAATTCCACTTCAATTACTATATAATAATCTAAGTTCTACATTTACATATTATTAAAGTTGAAAACAAATTACCCAATTATATAATCTGATTTTTACTTCAATTATATAATGTGTTTGGCATAGATACACATTATATTATATTTAAAATGACACTTCGCAAATTGATTTTCATTTACTTCATTATTCTTGAACTAAGAGAGTAATAACTATGAAAAGTTACAAGTTGTAGTATACGTAAAACCATTATGTAAGGAGAGAAAAAATAATAACAAATAAATTATTAATATAGAGAGGTAAAATAAGGACAAATATAGTGTAGAGTAGTAAATATATATATTGAGAAAATGTGAGGGTAAGTTAAGAGATGTTTTCACAAGAAAAATTAATCAAAAGGGGAGTAATGGTACATAAGTAAAAAGCTATCAATGCAATAATATTAATAAGTTTTATGCCTTTTATGTTTTGACTTATAACATATCTAATAAGATAGGGAAATAATATGTACACCTTGCAAAATTACACAATTCATTACACTTTGATAGTTTATATTACTTAATCCATTACACGTTGACGATTCGTAACTTCCCAAATGCACCTAGCCCTTTCTTTCTCTCTCTTCTTTCCTTTCTCCCTCTCATTGTTCTAACTTTAGATACATAAAACAACTCTATTTTTGGGATGATAAAGCAGAAAGTGGAGTGCATGTAAGTGAAGCCAATCAATAGAAAAGGGAAAGGAAAAGAGGGGAAATTTCTATAGTTTTGGTACTATGTGTAGCTTTGCCATTTTGTCCGATTTGTAAAAGTTCGCCATTGGATTGAGTTGAAATTTTGTTTGGGTGTTCAAGAGATATTGACCTACATTTTGAACGATTAGTTTTTTGTTTGGAGCTTTGTAGATTCTGATTTTGTGCCTAGAACAGTAGCTCATTTTTGGTGATATGTTTTTCTATAGTTTTGGTACTATGCGCAGCTTTGCCATTTTGTTCGATCTACAAAAGTTCATTGTTGGATTGAGCTGCAATTTTGTCTGGGTGTTCAAGAGATATTGATCTACATTCTAAATAGTCAGATTTTTATTTGAAGCTTTGTAGGTTTTGATTTTGTGCTTAAAACAATAGCTCGTTTTTGGTTATTTGTTTTCTTGTAGTTTTAGTAATGTGCACAACTTTTCCATTTTGTCCAATCTGCAAAAGTTCACTGTTGGATTAAGTTAAAATTTTGTTTGGGTGTTCAAGAGACATTGATCTATATTTTGAATGATCAGTTTTTTGTTTGATGCTTTATAGGTTTTGATTTTGTGTCTAGAACAATAGCTCATTTTTTTGTAAATTGTCAGTGTATAATGAATTAAGTAACAGAAACCACTAATGTGCAACGGAGTGTATAATATTGCAAGGCGTATGTATCAATGTCCAATAAGATAAAAGGAAAAAGAGAGAGAATTGGAATAAAAAATATATATAATAATCTATGGAGGTGCAAGGAATGATTAGAAAAGAATAAGGTTAAAACCTCATTTTGGTCCTTCTACTTTCACAAAAGTCTCTTTTTAATCCCTCTACTTAAAAAGTCTCCTTTTAGTCCCCTAAAGTTTGAAATTCAACCATTTTTTAGTCCATCTATTACTTTTTTTGCATATGTGACACATTAGGTGAGGGAAATTCTAAAGTAAAGGGACTAAAATGGGACTAAAAAGACCCCTTTTGGTCCCTTTAGGCTAAAAAAAGCTCATTTTTAGTCTTTCTACTTAAAAGAAAGCCCCTTTGTAGTTCCTATGCTTTGGAATTTCCATTATCTAACGTGACATTTATATAAAAAGATAATGAAGGGACTAAAAAGAGGTTTTTTGTTAAGATAAAAGGACCAAAAATGAGTTTTAACCAAAGAATAATAAAGTGGAATGATAAAGGAAGAAAAAGTAATAACAAATAAATTATTAATATAGAGAGATAAAGTGACGAAAAATATAGGTAGATAAATAAATATAATAATAAAATATTTGAGAATAAGCTAAGAGATGGTGTTGTTATAGAAAATAAATGAAATGTGGAGTATATATGTGAAAAATAACAAGAAAATAATACTAATAAGTTGTGTTTTTTATGTTTTGACTTAGAAACTTTCTAATATGGGAATTTTGGAGAAAGGAAATAAAGTGGGGTAAAAAAGATATATAATAATAGTTGCTATAAATGGAAAGAAGTTAATAAAGATTTGATGAATTACTCTATTGTGTTTCTCTAAAAAAATTTCAATTGTTGATATGGAAGTTAGATATCTACTTATAATAAATTAATATCTATTTAAAATGATTTTTATATTCATTAATTAAAAATTAATTTCAATTATAAATCAATATTACTATATCTAACAATTACTATAAAGGATTAGTACAAATAAATTGCACATAACACAGTTTTAGAGTCTTAATTCAATAGTAAAATTATAAAATAATGTGAATGGAAAAAATTAATCAAGGTTTGAATACCAACATAAATTTTGCCCATAAAGATTCTTATAGCTTGTCAAACAATTTCCCTTTCACTCACACCCAGGCTCTAACTCTAACCCCAGTTGATAAAGGGTGCATGTTCCAGGTTCATGACTTGGATTCAAGTTCCCATTCCCCCTTCCCCAAAGTTATACCATATTCAAAAAAATTTCCTCAAGCATGATAATAGCAAGTACTAATTTTTAAAATATCTTCTCTTAAAATTATAGGTCCTTCCAGAAGCTTGACATTAACTTGATTCTGTACACGTGTGTAAAGACGTCAAATGTTCACATGGGATTTGTCTAGGTGGCATCCTTAGGAGTACACGAGGTTTTTTTATTTTTATTTTATTTTATTTTATTTTCTGTGAACATGTGTACACATATTCCACTTGGAATACTTACATAGGGTTTCTCCAAGTGGTCCATAGTCCCTGGTCCGTGATTTTGACTTTATTTTTTCTGTTATTAGCATTCCTTTCAAGTGATTCCTTGGACCACCTCATAAAAGTATGATTGAATTATTCATTAACAATGTTCACCACATATATGCATACATAGGAAAAGAAGAAGAAGCAAAAGCAGAAAATCACATACTGTTAATCTCCATATATAGATTATTTTAAAGATTCAAAGCTCCATGAAGGATCAATGATAGGCTAAGAAACTCCTTTCAGAATGTAACATGGGGTTTACTTGTAAAATGGGCCTTTACTTGACCTAGCTAAAGGTTTATTTAAATCCATGAGATTTGTAGAGTACTGGGATTAGTGATATTGTGCCAACAATGTTCTTCATTTGGGGAAATCGTTTTTCCTAGGCTCCTGAAATTCAAGACAAGGAAAAATTTATTAAGAAAGGATAAATTAATGAAGAGCAGCAGTAGTTTTCTCTATCAAGAATAGATAATGGTGCAACACCATGGACATGAAAATTCTCACCGAAATCCCTCTGTGCCTTGCATCCGTAACATTCTGTCCTGCTTGCATAGTTATGCACTCCACATCTATCCAACAAAATGCAAACATGATGAATTGGTTCTTTATTCATATACAGTTTTCAAGCAATGAAGTCCGAAGTTGCTTGAGAACTTAATTTGTTTTCTAGAACATATATAAAAAAAAAATAAAAAGAATCATCTTTTAAGAAATATATGTATAAAAGAGAAAAAAAGAGATAGGGTGAGATCTTTGTTGGATACATGATACCTCAAATAAATTAGAAATCAAAATTAATTACTGGAAAAAAAAAAGGTAAGAGATTGATATTCAAAATCAAATGAGCTCTAACAATGCATGGAGCTTTACAATAATTTCAATGCAGAATTATTTTAAACTTACCTGGGGCAAATCCAGTCACCGGCTTTCCATCCAGGAGGGCAACTGCTATCTCCATAGTCAATATTTTTCAATGCTCCACATCTGTAGCAGCTGGTCCTACTGGCATAATTGTGAGCTCTACAGTTCACGTTAGAGCAGTACCAGTCTCCTGCCAACACCTCTGTCCTGTTGTACAGGAAAGTGGACACATCAGGGCCGCCGAATTTTGGGTATCCACATCGGTGACATGTCTCTCTCTTCTTGAAATTTTGGTGCTGGCATGCTGCACATATCCAGTCTCCTCCTGTCCAGCTCATTCTAATCTTAATAGTTCACAAGTTAGTAAACGAGGAGTAAAATGAATAGAAGAAGAGATACCAATAATTTTCAAAATGCTAATATATTACCTTATGATTGTAGGGCTTCTGAAAGAAGTTAGGAAGTACTTTTAGGAGAGGCTAGGTATTGCTGTGAGGAAATTGAAAAATTGTGAATGCAGTTGATGATCATTCCAATTGCGTTTGGTGGGTTTATATACTTCTTGTTAAAGTGTAGGAAACAAGGGCTACTGCTCTATCGTATCATTTTTTGTCTTTCCCAATTCCCGAAATAGTTTTCTCGAGATTGGATTCCAAAAGCAGCCATCTAATTTCCTTTTTCATTTTTCTCTGAGTTATCGATAAATCTGCTCTTCAGTTCTGCTACTTTGTCACTACTTTCTTGAGGGGAGATGAGGAGCTGGAGCTAGCTAGGCTGAGAATAGTGGTACATGTACATATGCATGTTTCTTTCTGAACAAAATTCGTCATACTCTCTCTTTTCATGATTCTGCTATGCATTATTGCAGAAAAAAACACTTTGGGAAGTAATATTCTCTTCTCTCCATATCCATACAAAATCGCCCTGCGAGGTGTTATGAGGGGTAGATGTTATTTGGTCTGTTCCCCCACATTATCCTTGTCAACAACTGTTTCACACGAAAGTGTTAACATTGTTTGAAAACATACGGGTCTTAATATAACATGAACATTTAACATGAGAGCAGTTAATAATAGGTGGAGTTTTCATACCATCTCTCTTAAGTTAGAAAATCTCATGTTGGAAAATAAAGAAGAAACATGAAGAGTTATCGTGCGAAAAGTTTTGTTGGCCTACGCAAATGTGAGCTACTCAACCTATCAACACCAATCTAGAAGGTTTAAATATCTTAACTTATTTTATTATTATTACTATATTATGTAGAGATTGTTAAAATTTTTAATGAATATCTAATTATGTTTTAAAATCTCCATAAAATTTCAAAGTCTTTAAAATTTTTAATAAATATCAAATAAATATTTAACAGATCTTTTAAAATTCTCAATAAATCCCTTTATTCTATTTTGGCCGTTTAAAATCTTCAATAAACTCTTTTAATAAAATATTCATAAAACCTAAAATAAATATTCATCTAACCTTTTAAAAAAAACTTATTGAAGAGATTGAAGAATTCCAAACTTCTATCATAAATATAAGTTTAATTTTAATTATTAAAACTTCAATTTGATTCCACAAATTGATTTGTCAAAAAAAAAAAAAAAAGAATCCAATAACTTCCATTTCTATCCTTCTACCCAATTGATTTGAGAACTTTAATTTCAAATTCATTTGACAATTTCAATTATACAATACATCAAATCTAAATTCAAATATATCTTATTAAATTATAAAAATTATTAAAGTCTTCAATAAATCCCAAAAAATAGGCAACAATTCTTTTAAAATCTCTCTAAAATCTCAAATTTATACTCAATGGACTTCTTAAAAAAAAACTCATTGAGAAAGTTGAATCTGATTAAATTAAATTAATAGTCTTTCGAATTTTTTAGTGACCATGATACATATAATTTCTTATTTAATTAATTCTTCATATAAATACTTAATAATACTCTAATTATATCAACTTCTTACTAATTGTTCTCAAATGCCACTTCAATTACTATACAATAATCTAAGTTTTACATTTGCATATTATTAAAGTTGAAAACAAATTACCCAATTATATAATCTGATTTTTACTTCAATTATATAATGTTTTTGACATAGATATACATTATATTATATTTAAAATGACACTTCACAAATTGATTTTTATTTGCTTCATTATTCTTGAACTAAGACTGTGATAATTACGAAAAGTTACACGTTGTAGTACATGTATAACCATTATGCAAGGAGAGAAAATAATAACAGATAAATTATTAATATAGAGAGGTAAAACGAGGACAAATATAGTTTAGAGTAGTAAATATATATATTGAGAAAATGTAAGGGTAAGCTAAAAGATGGTTTCATAAGAAAAATTAATAAAAAGCGGAGTAATGTTATATAAGTGAAAAACTATCAATGAAATAATATTAACAAGTTTGTATGCTTTTTATGTTTTGACTTATAATATATCTAATAAGATAAAAGGAGAAAGAGAGAGAATTGGAATAAAAAATATAGATAATAATCTAATGGAGGTGCAATGAATGATTAGAAAAGAATAAGGTTAAAACCTTATTTAGTCTCTCTACTTTAATAAAAAGGCTTTTTTAGTCCCTTTACTTAAAAAAATCTCCTTTTGGTCGCTAAAGTTTAAAATTTGGCCCTTTTTTAGTCCCTCCATTACTTTTTGCATATGTGGTATATTAAATGACGAAAATTCTAAAATAGAAGGACTAAAAAAAGCCCCCTTTTGGTCCACTTACTTAAAAAAAGACCATTTTTAATCACTCTACTTAAAAAAAAACCCTTTTTAGTCCCTCTGCTTTGGAATTTCCATTATTTAACATGACATTTATCTTAAAAAAAATGAATGGATTAAAAAAGGGTCGGATTTTAAATTTTAGGGATCAAAAAAAGATTTTTTTAAAGAAAGGGACTAAAAAGAGGCTTTTGTTAAAATAAAAGGACCAAAAATGAGTTTTAACCAAAGAATAATATAGTGGAATGATAAGGGGAGAAAGAATAATAACAAATAAATTATTAATATAGAGAGATAGAGCGATGGAAAATATAGGTAGATAGATAAATATAATTATAAAATGGGAATATGTGAGAATGAGCTAAGAGATGGTGTTGTTATAGAAAAATTAATGAAATGTGGAGTATATACATGAAAAATAACAACAGAATAATACTAATAAGTTATGTTTTTTATGTTTAGGCTTAAAAACTTTCTAATATGGGAATTTGGGAGAAAGGAAACAAATTGGAGTAAAAACGATATATAATAATAGTTGTTATAAATGGAAAGAAGTTAATAAAGAATTGATGAATAACTCTAGGAAAATGATGTGTGCACACCCGGATTCAACACCCGGGTGTGCACACTCCAAGTAACCAATGACAACCAAAACATTTTAAAAGTATAGTTACAAATTTACCCTTTCTACTTTCTTCCTTTTTTTTTTTTTTCTTTTTTCCATTTTTTCTCCCGAGCAGAACCCAATCTGGTTTTCCGAGAACCCA